AAAAAAAAAAGCTACGAATTGGTCGCTTTGACCATTTCGATAGTTCTGGTGTTAAACGATTCGAGGTGAGAGCCGAGCCGCGGTGAATCGATGTGCTCCCGTGAAATCGAGTTATGTACCACAGGACGAGCACGACGCCGGTTACAGTGGCGCAAATAGAGCGCGAATTGAAATTCCAAGCCTGTGGATCATTACGTCGCGACCTTCTTCGATAGACGAGGGAGAACGGTATCCGGGAAAGCGTGAAAATCAAGGGAGGGTTGTCGAGAGTGGATAAAACTATCGAGACGGTTGCGGGCACGTATCTAATCTCGAGGTGCTTCCCGTCCCCCGCCACACGAGATAAGAATACGTCCGGAGTATCCAACACGCCGTTCTTTCCTCTGGCGTAACAGTCAGACTGAAATAAAATCGAGAAATAAATCACGCGATGCTTTCGTTGCACCACGCTTCATCGGCGTATGTCTGAAAGTCTTTCATCGTTTCTGTTTTGTCTTTTGGCAATTGCTGACGCGCACCGATCGTCTACGTACTTGCGAAAGGCGAAGTTGATCGATCGTGCTTTCCATTCACGAAATCACGGAGAGAATCACGGATAGTGAAAAGTTTCACTTATCGTTAGTGTTCAATGATGGCTTCTGTATAATTTTCATTGCAGCAAATCATTCACGAAGTCTCGTTGAACGATGTAAAACTATACTTTGATCATCAACGATGGAGACTACTCTCGAATAACTGCGAGACCAATCGCGAACTTATTTGTACAAATATAACCCTAAGGCCAATCGTATTCTTAGTAAGTTCAAAGTGGCTTGATATAAAAAAAAAAAAAAAACAGGCTCGTGACATACGCGAGAGGATGATCAACAATATGTGAGTCCTTGATATGTGCCAAAACAAGGTGAAGAACTATTGTCTGAATCAAAGGTGGCTAACTGGCGGTCCGTTTTTGCCCCTACTTTCCTCGACGCTAGCGCTACTCCCTCCACCAGGACAATGGACAAATCTACACAGTGGAGGGGGTAAGTAGGGGCAAGGGGCCGGCAGTTAGCCACCTCTGGTCTAATCGTAAATCATAACTCAGTATTCGGAAACGTCAGTGCCGAACGTTCTTGCGCAACGAGTAACAGAGTTACTCATTGAAAATCCCCATTTCTTCGGAAATAACCGTTCCGTTTATTTTCAAGTGAGAGGAGAAAACGATCCGAGAAGGAAGAGACAGATAAAAGCGAGTCGGATGGAGGCCGAAAGAAATTCCGGGGGTGGAAGTCACGTAGGTAATCCGAGGTTGGTCCGATCGGCAGAGGAGAAGGGGGTGTGTATTCTTGGAATCGGAGGAAGAGGCTAGCGCAGTGGATTTCGGCGCAAACGACCATAGGATTTCCCGTAGGAACATTATCATTTTAGCCGGCGGAGATTGCGGCTCGATTATCGATTCGAGCATGGCTCTTTCTTTCTCTCTCTCTCTCTCGTCAAGTAATCAACTCGTCGAGATTCCAGGCTGCTCTTTCCTTTCCGTTTTCGCTTGCTCTTTCGTCTGAAGACTTCCGCCGCCACGTCAATTGCTCTAACGAAACGTAAATTCGTTCCTTCGTTACCCCTTATATATCGCTCGGTGGAGCTCTCCGCGAGCCAGCGACGACGCTCGCCCTCTCGTCAAGGCTTGTTACACCAATTGTACCGGCAAATAAAAGCGACAAAGCGAAGGAAGGAGAATTTGGATGGAAAGGCTGAGGAAATCCAGACGAACGCACGGCGGTACGTGTCTTACAGCAAAAGCGAGATGGAGGGTGGAATGCAGACCGAAGTTTGTGGAGCATCGACCGAAGCGGTTCGAATGATAAATGGGTTTTAATCAAACGCGTGCCTTCAGCTGCGTCGATTCGGAGCTTCGATCTGTCGCTTCAGTGCGTCTCGTTCATCGGGCTAATTAAATCCCAGGAGGGTTACACGATCGCGAGTCCCGATTCGCTCGAGGAATCGCGCGAAAGTAGAGGAGAGACGCCTAATGCGGCGAGAGCTGTCAGTGTGAGGAGGATAAGAAGTGCACTTCATCCACGAACGATTGCGATTAGCGCAGTTTATACGTGGAAAACCAGGCAGAAGTAAGTAAAGTAGACAGAGAATCGATCGTAACACGTTACAAAAGTTTCTACGCTTTGCTCTGATAACTAATCGTGCATTTTACGAATTATATTTCAAAAGTTGCAATTTCGCGAGCCCTTATTGTCGTGATTCGTCTAAAATTTCGCGCAAAGTTTAATTACAAGAATAATGAAACTTTTGCGTGAAATGTTTCGAGGACAATCTCTCTCTCTCTCTCTCTCTCCCTCTAATATCAAAAACATGTTTCACATATTTATTAAAATGTATTCTTCAAACAAGCTCGCTGTTGTATAGAATATTTAGTTAATTATAAATTCTGATGTTCTCGAAGAGAACATGGAATCCGGGCATGACGAAGGCGGTTATAGATGCTGTTAGAACTTATTTATTTTTAATTTGTAAGTTAGTTTCAAACAACGTTTAACGCGCCAAGCGTATTGGCAATTTTCTCATTAAAAAAAAAAAAAAAAAAAGATTAAAAATTCATTCCAGCGAAAGAATGTAATTAAAATTTCTACCAACATAAAACCTCGTGCCCCCGATATGGGGAGATTGCATGTTTTTGTCAATTTAACAATGTGTAAAAGCAACGTGCTGGTGACGACGACGAATGAAAACACGTCACCACACGATATACAGGGTGAATAGAGAAAAAGGTTCATAAGCGATAAAATTCGTAGCCTCAACCGAAACAAAAAGTCGTTACACAACTTTGAAATTGTTAATTTTTCCATCCGTGTTTATTGCAACGTTTTTCTCATCGTTTCTTTCTTTTTGAGGAGTTATTCACCATCTACTTAAAAGCAACATGTGCGAAACATGCTTCTATTTACACCGAATCTGCGAAACTTCTTCGATCGGAATTTCGAAAGAGTCTTCTCGTGAAAGTTACGAAGATAACTAACGAGAGCTCGGGCGAACGTTTTTCGTTGTACGTTCGTTTGCCTGTCCATTGCAGAAACAGAGCGGGAATCAGCCGCGAGTTGCGAAGAAAGCAACGCCTGCAGGGGGTGCAGCGCAACTTCGTTGACAAGCGTGGTAATATACTTTTAACAACGTCGTTTGCTTTGTGCAAAAGCAGCGTGCAAAAGAACAATGCTCTTTGTCGCGGCGTTCTCCGCGCGGCGGCGAGAGAGGAAACGTACGAAACGTTAACAATGCGGGGAACAATAACACGCGAATCACATACAGTAGCTCGTTGATCTTTTGTAAATTTATTTCAACTCGCCTCAAATTTTAAATCCCCCCTCCCTCTCTCTCTCTCTCTCTCACCGGCAGAGATACTTTCTCTTGTTTTTTGACGACAAACTCTCTCTCTCTGGATATAAAAGAGCTAGTTGGCTGCAATTCTAATCACACACATCGGTTCAACGCCAAACGAATTGAGCTCTCACATTTTCTTCTTCGATTTGTTTCAGCAAAAACGTACGAAAGTATACAGACGCTCGAGACAGCAAGGATGCAACTCCCGTGTTGTTAGGGAGAAATGAACGAAACTTTATTCGTCGGCGATATTAGGCGGCAATTATAAAATTACGTGGTGCAGCGAGGAAGAGCGAGGAGAAGGCGTGGGTAAAACACGGGACTCGTTCAAATTCCTCGGAGTTACCGAAAACGTCAGAAACTCGGGGAAAATTAAGGAGAGAAGCTAGACAGACAGGTCGGCGGAAATGATTCTCGGGACGCGCAGAGCTTTCAAAGGTGCGGCGCAAAGAGGAAGAGTAGGAGAAATAGAGGGGAGAAGAGGAAGAGGAAGTGGAGCGTTAGCCACGCGCCCGTTCTTCAAGGGGTTAATTACCTTTGGCTCGTTCTTCGTTAATCCAGCGTGGTCGCCCCTCGTCCGAAATTTATTCCCATGGACTCGCCGCGACGTTCGTTCGCTTTAATCTCTGTTTACGTTAATCTCGAACGAGTAAGCGTGCACGCGTGCGTGTACGTGTCTCTGTTTGCACGCCACGATTGCCTGCTCGCGAAATTCCCAGCCTGCTCGAGAGGAAAGTAGAACGAAAGGAGCAAAGAGAGACAGAGAGAAGATTCAAGCGTGTTAGAAGACATTTCATCTTGAGAAGTATGATCGACTTTGACTTGGCTACGTGTCTACGTTGACGCGGCATTTTGCCAATGATTAATGGCTTTCGGGGACTGTTCGAGAGGTTCCGAGATGAAACGGACAGGGAGATTTTTGACGCGTGACTTTGAGTTATGCGAACGAGTGTTTGAAACGTTCAATTTCGGAGGGAGCGTTGTATTCGTTGGAATGAGAAAGTGGAGGAGGTATTGAAACGCTCAAGTAGAACTGCTAAGGACTAAAGTATAAAATTTTTTATCACAGATATTAACCCTTTGCATTCGACTGTCTCTTCTGAGTGAACATTATTCTACCTACCCAACAGCTCGGACTTCTTCTTTTTATAATTTGCTGATAATTATTGTTGCTGATAACATTTGGTTTGATATAATAGCATAATATCTGAACAGGCGCTTAGTTGTTATAAAGCTATAACAACGAAAGAATTTCAGAGAAAAGAAATTTCTGAAGACAGTCGTTTGAGTCAATTGACACACGCGTTGGAATAATTCATATAAGCTGGACTTCTTATTGCTTCTCGCAAAAGTTTAAAAACTGGCGTGTAAAGTTGTACTTGTTCTAGCGAATCCGCGATGCTTTAAACCCAAACGATATCACGACGTTGGAAAGATATAATTGACAAGATTTCGTATTAAATGCCATTTGAATGATTATTTCCAACGCTATGTCATTTTATTTGAAGCCTCTTAGATGAATCGAAGAAAAGTTTTCGAAGGCAAAGGGCTAGAGTGAAAAAGAAAAAAAATAGAATGCACAAGCTAAACAAAAATCATTTAAATCTCTGGAACTACACTGTGCCTCAGTGAGTAAGAATTATGAGCTAGTCATCTGGACCAGCTCCAGTGTTAAATATTTCCCCGACGTATATCGGACACTTAAAAGATCGTTGGGCGGAATCTCGACGGAAAGGGGCCTCATAGAACGCACGTGTCGAACATTCGCGGCCGCTTTGTTCCACGTGACACGCCATTTGCTCCACCATTATACCCTCGTACGTCACGCGATGTACATAACTTTGCAACCTGCTTTATCGTCGCTACGCAGCAACGGGAAAATCAACATTACAGAAACGAATTCTGTCGGCAGATGCAGAGAAGGGAGAGAAACAGAGTTTTCAAATTTCGCTCGACTTGCCTCGCTCGGGATGGAATCGTGCCACAGTCCGGCGTTAATTAATCACAACTAATTCCCTCCTGCTGCCGCTCGAACGTGCACAGCTCGCTGGTCGATAGTTAAACCACATTTGTAAAATTGCGTGCGATTCATGCGTGAATCTGGCGCGGATTACCGAGGCCACACCGTCCGACCCAATTAATCGGTCATCCTCGCGCGATCCCGGTAATTACGCCGAATATCGATACCACGTCCGTTGCACGAGCACGCGGTTTTCCTTCGGCCACATCCGATTCTTCCACGCATCTGAAGCTACCGCACGACTGCTCTCTATTCTGGCCGAAAACTGTGACGATTCAAACTTCTCGTAAGCGAGAAAGTTTCCGAATGCAAGTCTCGGAAGTTTCGAGTTCGAGGTCTCCCTTCGAAAGAAATGTGAAAGAAGATGGTCCCTACGTTCCTTCGGAGCGGGAATGTATACGTAGGGAAGAATAATACCAATGTTAAATTAGGAAATAACAGAAAAGTCCCAATATGGCGATGACAAAAGATATTATAATACCTTTCAGAAGCTCTCTCGCGACTCTTTCGCGGCTCACCACTTTTTCATAAGTCTTCACTCGACCACGACTCGAGTCTCTCTTGGTCGCTACTCTCTCCCTTCACGATATACGTTCTTAAAATCTTCGTCCTTCGCACGGTTGAAACGAACGCTCCCAGGCCTGGCCTTCGTCCGTGACAATTGTCTCGGACACGCAGCAGGCGAAAATTGCTTCGCACTTAACAGTTCGGAGCAATTTCTCAAATATATATATATATATATACATATATATAAAATAGACAAACGGAAATATGGCCGCGAGAGCGAGCGTAATTAAAGATAGAAAGGCGAAACGTGAGGGGGAGAGTGCAGCGTCTTCGGTTAAAATTCATTCGGAACGATAATTCGAGGCAACAGGTTGGCAGCATTGATTTTTCCCGGTGGCGAGGCCCGTGGCTTTCGGGGTCATTCTCGTCTCTGACTCGAGGTGACAGCCGATCCACATTTCACGGCGGATCGAGGACGTTCCGATGAACCGCAAATTATCGACTTTCCAGTGTTGCATGTTACAACAAAACGTGGCACGAAACGAGCCTGTCCAGCTTG